TCGCTAGCCAGGACTCTCTTTGAACTGCCTTCCATCACAATATGACTGAATGTCGCAAACAGTGGCGACTAAACTGGAACTGAAAATGGTAAGCCAAAAATATCCATCTCAAACAACCTCCTTAGTATGGTCGAGGTGGATGTCTCGGGTTGTGGCTGACCACCCTTCTCTTGTGCCTCACGAAATGTTCCTAAATAGCCTCCGATAAGGAAGCCCTACTCACTGCGTTCCTCTTGCGGTGGTGTTTTCCCGCCAAATTGAGAGGAAGAAAAACCAACCTCCGGGGCTAAAACCGGGTCGGCAGTTCACCTAGGGCAGTTAGTTAAAAACCTTAATTCCAAACCAAACAAGAAACAAGGCACTTATCATCACCATTACAGCGAAAGAAAACGAAGCGAATTTAACCGATTTTTGCCAAGCTCACAATATGTACAAAGTGAACAAGAACATGTAACATCTCGATACGGAGTGAGCTTGCTATAGTTAAGGCAAAACAAAGTGAGCCGCCATGGTCACCACACAGATAGACCGGACGTATCTCTCAGCCTGACTTGATAACAAATGACCACAGTAACGCCGCTATATTCGATCTACAGACATGTTTGTCTGGTTCTGGGTTTATGATTCCCGAACTGGAAGATGGGCGATGTCAACTGGGTGATATTTCTGTATTGTTCGCCATTCCTTGTCTGCACATCACCTGTTGAGTTTAAAGTGTTTTCTGTCGCCCTGAATTCACAAGTGCAAACAGAGCGCCATGCGGTGGATGACTGTCAGGTTAGGTGTAGCGCGTACTTGAACCAGAAAAGTTTATTCAGGCCAATTCACCGAGATAATAAATAGTATGAAACATTTAACAAAAGAGAAAGAAGATAAACGGTGTGAGATGATAACATTCTGTTTAATCTCCTCTGTCGCTAACTTAAAACAAACAGTAAACAAACGACATTTTAACATTTCGCGACATTTGTTGATGACAATAAATAGTACCCGAAGAAACTCTCTCCCTCATCTCTATGCGAATAGCTCAAATGCGCCAAACTTCGATAATCACAATCCAGTTGATCAATATCTTGAACCGCGGCGAATTTCCGATTATCGAACTTCAACGCACCCGGTCGGGAAGCATAAATACACATTTTGAAAATGAAAATCTTCCACCGCATAGCGCAATATCTCTTGTTAGTTCGTCAAATGCACTTTGCGCATGTTTTATTCAATAATATAGTTTTAGACTACTGAAGACCGTATAGATGTTTGTTCAACTGTCCAATTAGCAACATTTCGCTCACCACTAGGGACTTTGTCCAATATGTTATCCATTACGAAAGTGGACTTGGAAGGGGAAATAAGACGCCTTTGACACACACTTGTTGGCTCCGGATAGTATATCAGCTTTTTCATTTCCATTTGCCATTTAATGTGCTGGCCTCCACGGGTTTGCCGGTGTTCGAACACCACTGTCTACGCCGCACTACACGAGTCTAGTGGGGGTAATCAGACGAGCAATGCTGAATTTAGGCGTAGAGTTTCAAGTAATTGCGGTCGTCCACTGGAGCAAGTAGTCGACCGCCATAGATTACGTTGGATGGGGCATGTGTTATGCATGTCACCAAATAGGTGAGCGATGTTCGCCGAGGCAGATAGCGATTGGAAAAAGTTCAAGGGCGGTCAAACAAAGACCTGGAACCACAGTAGGAAAACCATAACCAGGAGACTCGGTCACATAGGTCCCGTGAGGCTCCCTGGCTGGGGACCAAGAGATCATGTTTACCGATGGTTAGAGACACTGAGCGATATGGCTGGGGTGTCACAAACAGTGGCGCTCATGCATCTACTCATTATTCTTGTAACATCAGTCTATATGCATTCGTTATCTTTACTTTGACTCTGCTCTAAACATTCTATTTTTTTTTATTCTGCTCTTTTATCTAAATGGGCAGCCAAAGAACAGCAACCAAAACCGGTGAATGAAAATGTATTGCTAATGGTTGTGAAAACTGACTGAAACTGAACTTTCAACCGAGCTCGGTGTGCATGAACAGGTTGTGTGACGATAACCGATTATCAGGAATTCTCAAAAAGTGACTGAACCGTCGCAAACAGTATGGCGAGATGGTACCATAACTATTAGATAATAACACATAGTCACTATAACACAGATAACGAGAGAGTCAAAAAATATCCAAAGCTGTTTGTTTACGGGATTATTCCAATCCAGAGCGGGACAGGAATTGAGTCCCAAAGAAACTAGGCAGTTTGAGAACAACGCAGAAATTGTTTAAACAATAGAAAAATAAATTCGGAAAATCAAAACAACAGCAGCAACTAACTCACCAGAGATAATATGACACTGATCATACTCGTCACGATCACGTACATCAAGTAACAGATAGGGTTGTTCTCCACCCACGACCGGTTTCACTACACCTTCTCTTAACGGCCGATCCGGAAACTGGGACTTTAAATAGGTGTCGTACTCTCCAACGCCACCGATAAGACTATAACGAGAAAATAGCGATTTATCAGTCCAACCGGGGAACTCATGTGAACAAACAAATCAGACAGTAATGCGGAGCATGTAGCAACCGGGTTCTGTTTTTAAAACCAGCGCGTGATGCCCGATTGAAGGGGCAGCGGTTCCATGATCCCAAGGAGGTAATGAGTGAGAAAAAAATAGCAGCTTCATCATCAGAAATTGGAGTGTCCGAAAAAGGGGAAGCGCATGGTAATGAGCCGCACGANCCGCACGACAGATGCATAACACTGGAAAGACCCAGTAAGCGGTGGTACTTGAAATTATGATCGTGCATGCCATACCTTTTCCCACCAAACCTAATTTGTTGGGAACCCCAAAGCTGATTGGTGCTTTAGAAGTCACACGTCAACGACTGGACGGGATCTACCAAAACCTGTCCAGTCGGAATGAACTGATTTTTTCAGACAAACAAAGGTACTTTTTGAGTGAAGTACCGAGCAAAGATGTAAGTTTTGGTGGGGTGGGGTACGACCGTTCGTCTCACCTCCGCCCCACCCGAGTATGTTGTTTTCGACCGTTGATCGTGTGAACTTTAGATAAGAATGAACAAAGCCGGTGGTAATTGGCCTCGGTCGGCGAAGTAAGGAAGCGAATCATGTCATATAGGATCGATAAGCAGCCGTCATGCTCAGGAGTCAATGTAGGCATGACCCAGTGCATGAATGGGTTCAATCGAGGCCCTGGTGAGTAAATTCCATCAAGACAGAGGTTGCCCCGAGTAACACCGATTTTTTTTAAACCGAATGGGATTGCCTACATTTGTAGTGCAGAAAGGCCCGCTTGACAACAGGCTTAACAACGGCACAAGGATACAGTGAAAGAGCTCGCAGTATTTCACCTGAGTAGAAAGATCAAATTTGAATTTACTTATTAGCTAACAGAAATTATTTTTTTCTCTGCAACTCCTGAACTAACCATTGCATTCTATCCACAATGCCAATGAAAACCACAGTTGCTCCCTCTGTTGCTCAGCTTGGTCCCATATTTTATTATCCGTGTTGCATCATTATCATCCTCTTCGAATCTTTTCACAGCTTGATTACATCTGTGAGATTCTCACGGTCCAATGAGTTTCCGTTTCAGTTTATACAACCGTTAACCGTGCACTTTCTTGTGCAGGTTTTGGTTGCTGTCTTTTGGCAGCCGACTTGGACGAAGAATGGGAGAAGACAGGAAAGTTGAAAGTAGAGTCGAACAGTTTCAATGGTCTTAGGTTGCAAAGAAATTAAGATGCACGAACGCCACTATTTACGACACCCAGTCATATCACTCAGTGTTTCTAACCACCGGTTACGATCATCCCGAGGTCCCCATGCAGGGAGCCTAACGGGACCTATGTGATCGACTCTCATGGTTAGGGTTTTCATACCCTCGTGGCAAGTCCTACCTTGACCACTCTTGGCTTTTTTCCACCCACTACCTGCCTCGGCGAACGTCGCTCACCGTGGCAGCCTATTTGGTGGCATGCATAACACATGCCCCAACCAACGTAATCTATGGCGGTCGACCACTTGCTCCAGTGGGCGACCGCGGTTGCCTAAAACTCTGCGCCTTATCCCAATGAGTACATGTGGTGGTAATAATAACAGTTATCCATGGTCTACAAAGGATGGTAGTTTTTTACCGGGTGCTTCATGGGTTTTTTTAATTGAGGTAGGTACATTATGCCTTGGAAGGATAAGTGCAATCTTGTTTTGATCTCTAAAGTCATAATTATCACAGAGATACACCATTTATCGCTATGACAAAGACTGGTTATAATGTATTTTCACATGCATCATTCTCAGTAGAGGCACATGGAGTCATAAAAACATAGAATATCAAACCGTCCTGCTTTGGTGATAGATCAACTGGCTAAATACTGTACATTTGGTCACAAATATACACAATCCCAATAAGCGGATACACATAACAGTGCACTCGGAGTCGAGGCTCCTCGTCCAACAGAGCAAACGAGATTGTGTTTATAAACAAACCGCAGGACCGATGGGGCAAATGAACCGATCAGAGACAGAGGGGTTGGATATATAAATAGAACATATATTCACTTGAACATCCTCTGGTAGAATGGCCTCTCGTCAGCAGTTTCCTTATCAGCTGCAGACTATAGTGCAGGAATAATATTTTCCAATCTCTTCCTCGAGTGACTCACTTTCATTATTCATTGGTAGTTTGCTTGTAAACGCGACTGTGGTTTGTCTGTTCGATAACATGCGAATGTTTATCGTTCTAAGGCAGCGACATGAGAGAATTGCCTGCCTATGCATGAACCTGAAATCGTCTAAATAACAATGCCGATTATATTCACACGCAAATACATTTGATTATTCTGCTAAGAATGTAATGCACTATAAAAGGTTGAAAAAACTTTTGATATTCCCTGTTTTGACGGACTGTTTGGTGGAAACATACCTTTCGAGCGTCGGGCGTGTGGTGTTTGGAGGATTACATGCGCCACCATTGACATGATTAGTATTAGAGCCATCAACGACAGGAATCGAATTTTTCCCGCTACGAATTTCTAAAAATGAAATTACAACATAGTGAGTAGATACCTCCTGATGTATCAGTTACAGTATTCAAAGGTCTACATTGTTCCTTTACTTCGTTCACTTGTACAATCAGCTGAACGAAGGTGGACATTTTCATTCGTTTAAATATTTCATCATCGCGAACCCTGTAATCTGGATATCATTGAAATACTCCACTGAAGTAGATGCGCACTTTCTCGAAACTCCTCCATTCTTTGCATATACTTTGACAAACTTGCTCCCGTGTCCAGGGTTGGTTTGATGTCCTCATATTTTGGATTCCGAGGGATGGTCCGTTGCAATGGCTGAAGAACAGATTGGATTGAAAATGGACATGAGTAGTACTTCTCTACGTTATTTGTTAACAGCACGAAAGTTCCACTAAGACGAACAATAAGATTAAATCCCATAACTACTGGGTCTGTTGTTCATCAGTGAGAATTGGCAGTCTCAACCTGGGGTGAGATGTGGCGAATTGCACAAAACCCGATAGCACTAAGCCTGTTATCGGATCAGGCGACCGAAGTCGGATGGCGATGACCATGTAAAACTGCCTCTACTGCAAGTTTACATCATTTTTCCTACACTTACAGTTCGTACTTTCTCATCTATTTATTCTATTTTAATAAGAGTTCTAAAAAAACACGGTAATACCTCAAAGTGGCTGTGTGCCTCAGAAATTAGACGAATTATACAGTTCCTAAAATATAACCATCGACAATGTGGAAAACCGTGTTCGCGAAGAAGTTTCTTTTCGATATATCGCATCAGGTAGTGATATATTTAAGGTGACCATAGTACTGATGTCTTATTGGCTGCTTATAGCTCAGTTTCTAACGATGACAGGCGTGCAAATGCTTGAGTCGTGGAGGGAATGAGAGGACAAAGGTCCAGTGAAATAACGGTCGAGAGATGGGCTGATTAAAATGAAAGTTATGATCTAAGGCGAAAGAGCGGGATAAAGTTACGTAAGATACACTAGAATTTCATGCCAAGCTTGGGATGTAATCGGGAAGGCACAGTGGAGAAAAAAGAATTAATCGTTGAGATTGTTTCACAACCGAAAAAAGCAAAAGGGCAGAGATTGGACAGAGCACATTTTAAGGTCACTGTCATTATATTAATTTGCATATTTCAGTAGAACTATATCCCAAAGTTGATCCGTGTTCAACAGTGGACAACTTTGGGCAATGGACTACTGAAACAGGACGCCGTCATAACAAACTAGAAGCAGGTTTTTGGATGTTCTCAGTGTCCCTGCTGAATTTCCCCAATTTAGTTCATCCCTTGATGGGCCGCAAGCCTTGTTATCACATCATTTTTCATTGATAGAGAGCGAGCAAATAAAGTTCCAAAACCAAAATAAACTCACTAGTGGGCGGTAAAAACGGTGAACAATAACTTGCTTTTAGGCTTCCGAATAATTTTAATTGAGATTTGAAGAGTCATGATTGAGGGAGGGTCATAAATAATGCTTTGAATGGCGGTGAAAGTATTCCCTTCTCTTCACTGAATTTTAGACGCGCGCTACATGATACACCAAACGGTATAACGATCCACAAATAATAAGCTTTATTGTGTATCAAGCTCAATTTTATTTAGTTTTAGTCGCGTGCAGTCTTTCCAGTCTTACAAATGAAGAAAAAAAGAAAGATCGCCATTTGAAAAGTCTGAGTGAACTGCTGGGTATGGAAATACGACTCACTCGGGTTGCAGCTGTAGTCACAGTGACGGATTACGATTGGGTTAACCAGCGTGCGGAACTACAGTGAGTCATTTAGACTGCTATTAGGATAAACCGTGAATCGCTGTTCCTCCATATAAGGTAATTGTCAATCACGGCTTTAAGAATCGTTTAAAAGCTGGTTGGTTGCGGAAGGTTAATATACTGGACACTAAGATGGTCGAAGGTCATATTAGAGTACTGTATTATTATTATGGTTATATTTTGTTTCCCATCGTCAGTCCACTTCTTACAACTCAGCACTCAAATGTCCACTGTTTGTTTGTTGAATATAATCTACAGAACTGTCTAAGTCCTACATAATTATGACTCCACCTGTTTCACAACAATTGAATTAACGAGCCATCTATAGAATGTTATGACCCGAAGGCTTTACAGATGACCTCAACAACATAAGTGCATCCAAGCAATGAATCTATCATTTCGATACATACACCTACGGTCCAGTTTTCCAGTTTGTACAACCATTAATCATGCACTTTCATGCTCGGGTTTTGGTTGCTGTCTTTTGGATGCCCATTAGGATGAGGCACTAAGGAAAAGACAGGAAATTTGGAAGTACAATCGAAGAGAAAATGGAGAATTGCAATAGACTAAGGTTGCAAAGCAATTGGGAAGATGCAAGAACACTGTTTATGGAATCAACAAGATTAGAGGGTGAAACAGTTTTAATATTAATTGAAAATACTGGTCCAAGATCAAAAATTGAAGCCCGTAACAACAGGAGCGAACCGAAAATTCACCATTCAGGAGGCTTTCATATCAGGTGCTTGTTCCTAATCCATGTGTCATAGTCCTCCAGAAACAATATCGCTCGACCCACACACCATCTGTGAACCACTGCGGTTTCTGAAAATGGCTCGCTGCCAATCACAGTTCTATCAGTCGGGGAGAAATATACTTCAGCCACTTGTCCCGTGACCTAAACCTTCTCCCCGTAAGTTTTAGTGCATATCGGAACCTCTGAGCTTTATTTTGACTTGACCATCGGGCGCTTAAAATGGCTTCAGGTAAGTTGCAAGCTTTTCTGGATGGTTTGAGTGCTAATGTAGCCATGTTCAGTATGCGTTTTGCACCTTCAAAGTGTAAAACGTCGCTACAGGATTGGGTTGGTCCAGTCCTAAACCTCACCCTGACTGAGGAAGTAGTGAAGGAAGTAGACAAATTTTGCTATCTGGGCAGCTATATCTCACCTGGCGGACGTATCACAGATGAAGTGTCGGCGTTTATACAAAAGGCTCGGTTGACGTTTGCCAAGTTCAGATATTTGTGGCGCCGTCGTGACATCCGGCTGTCTTTGAAGGGTCAAGTATATGCTCCAGCAGTTCGGCCAGTGCTGGTTTATGATGTAGAGATTTGGTCATTAAGGGAACAGGATAAAAATAGATTTTCGGTGTTCGAACACCACTGTCTACGTCGCATTGCACGAGTCTGGTGGGGCAACCGGACGATGAATTCTGTGGTTAGACGCAGTTTTATCTAATCGCGGTCGTCCACTGGAGCAGGTAGTCGACTTCCATAGATTACGCTGGTTGGGACATGTGTTACGCATGTCACCAGATGGGTTACCACGGTGCGCATTGTTTGCGAGGTAGACAGCTTTGCTGTCGTCCAATTCAATACCACACCTAACCTATCGGGGCCTTACGTGGTTCACCAAGTCCCGGGGCTAAGGTTACCGGTTTCCATCACTGAACAGCAGGTTTTCGTGACTATGGCGTTCACCCCGTCTGTTGTTTGCAACATGTGTGCAATAATAAAGAGATATCGGTTGGAAAAAAGTCAAGAGCGGTCAAACGAAGACCTGGCATTAGGGTAGGAAAACACTAACCGGTAGACTCGGTCACATAGGTCCCGTGAGGCTCCCTGGCTGGGGACCCAGAGATCATGTTTACCGATGGTTAGAGATACTGAGCGATATGGCTGGGGTGTCGCAAATAGTGGCGCTCATTCGCCTACTCATTATTCTGGTAACATCAGTTTATGTGTATTCGCTATATTCTGCACAACATTCCTATCTGTATTCTTCTCCAATATCCAAATGGGCAACCAAAAGACAGCAATCAAAACCGGGGCACGAAAGTGCATGGTTAATGGTTGTTAGAACTGAACTGAACTGCTTAAAATGGCATGTTGCAAAATTATGTATCATAATGTCAATGGATGCAGAACATTTTAAAATCTTCATAGAATGTCAGTTTTGTTGTATCAGTACACAAAAATTGATATCAGGATGTCAGAATATCCCCAAACATTCATTCGACATATTTCTGGAGCATAACCTCCTAAAGCTGAGGAGATCTATCGAAGTTCTGGAGAGAGACCAACATTTTTCCTAATTGGGTCGTTGGTCACAAATTCTCAGCCTCAACGGTTGTTTGGAGACTGCAAACAACTTCAAATTACAAAAAACGAAAGTCAATCGGCAATATACGTCGTATGTCGATTGTGAAAAATTCAGTAACTTCGGTGGGATTCAAACCCACGCATGGACGCCGCCTACGCTCTGTACGCGCATGCTCTGCCAGCTGAGCTACGAGGCCACACCGATAACACTGATCTTTTTACATTCGAATTTACCCATCCAACTTACAGAGGCATGTGGCATCCACCATGTAGCATGTAAGCTGACTGCCCGACAGGTTTTCCTTAGAATTGGATAGGTAAATTCGAATGTGAAAATATCAGTGTTATCGGTGTGGCCTCGTAACTCAGCTGGTAGAGCATGCGCGTAAAAGGCTTAGGCGGCGTCCATGCGTGGGTTCGAATCCCACCGAGGCTACTGAACTAACCACAATCAACATACAAACTTCAAATCCGCCAAACAATTTGAACAATATANAGAAGACGTGATAACCGAACCCACCGAGTCTCATTGAGCGGGCTTTCTCCCAGCTTTAATGGTTTCACAGAATCTTATAAGCGCTCCGGGGATGCATTTTGAATTAAACATATTCCGCACAGTTTGCAGCTCGGAGTCATATAGATTGTGTTGAACTGATATGATTATGAAACACGGAAAGCGAACTTGTTTAACGCCTTTTGTGTTCTCGTCTTGTGTTCTGAGGGACTGTTCAGACAGTAATAAAACCCACAATTACTTGTGAATAGTGATGTACAAATCAATAAGCTAACCACTCGGGTTTGAGGCTACACAAAAGACTATCAGCTTTGAATCCGATCGACTACAGCCACCAAGAACATGAGAAT